ATTATGTTCGCTGTCGTCAGAGTTGTTGCTGGGCCCGGCCCTTCCCACGTGATTGATCCTCTTGCTTAGGCAATGTCTCAGTACGCAGTATGGGAATGGCAAACCGTTGCGGTTGTTTCACACCATCCTACGGTTACCTATGATAAAGGATTCTCGACAGAATCCGAAACGTCAGGAAAATAAAGTTTTTGTTCCAGTGCTTGCATCGTCTTCTGCTGAACTTCTTCCTAGAACTCGCATATTCGCTTCTATCAGCAGTCATTCATGTGTGCATTTGTGTGAATTGGTCGACTGATGCACTGAGAGTCAGGCTGCAATGGCCTTTTTTCGAATGTAGTTTATATTACAATACCATTGCATGGGATCCGAGCCAGGTGTGGCAGCCCGCCTAGAAGGCGGCTCCGATCGCGCCAGCCATCTGCACCTTCTTCCACCCCCGGTATTCTTGACTTGGTCTTGGCACTGGGTGAGTGAAGGGCATAGCGCGGTAGATGCAGTGCAAGTCTACTCTTACTAGAATCGTACTCGGGCGCAAGTCATCACCCCTGCGCGGTCATGCTTTCGTCGGACGGGACGGTAGAACTGTCGCATGACGCACTTTGCTGCTGGCTCTCGAATTTGATCCGTTACCCTTCTTCCTTCTAGTCTGCCTCCGGAGATCCTGCCGTTTCCAGTTGCTCGTCTGCAATATTTCTTTTACAAATCCTGACTCAGAAATCTCTAATTATACCGTTTCTCCCTGGAAATGTCTGGTACTGTAGCTGTCACAAGCATTTGATCTGCCATCTTGCCTTAAGCCTCAGATAAGCCAAGCCTCTACCGAACCCGAGCTCTCGCGCAAGCTGTTCCGCCAATAAATTCCCAGATTTAGTAGTCGCTTGCCAGTTTTTCTACCAACAGCATTGGTTTTGCGTCATCAGGAAACCCCCGCCAGACGAATATTTTACCGTTGGCACTGCAAGGTTCGCAGCTTCTGCATGACGGTCATTGATTAGCGTGGGTTGAGAAAGTGACACCGATACCATTCAAGTAACCACCGCTTTCCAGAATCAGTGCCAAGTGCGTTTAAGTTTACGTATGCTCCAAGTCCTTCGATTAATTCCTATGGCCTTACAGGCTTTACTTTTAAAAGTAGGGAGCGCTGGAGAACATACCGAAGATATGAACCCCTTTCAGATCCGCCTTCGACTGGTAAAATAGCTAGCGAAATACACATCTGAGCTGGCGGTTGTTTCCTGTTTTCCGATTATATATGCATTCTGTGAACTTAACATTGTTAACCGATATCGATGTGAATTCTTGCTGCCGTTTGGGAGAGCTTGGCCGACTCTCCATTATCAAAACGTCTACTTCCTATATCGGTCAGAGTTTTGAATGACTCGTCATATCTCCTGATCAATGATTAACTGTTTTTCGTTCGCTGCCGTGGCTCTGATATGGATATTTGTGTAGCTTGACGACCGCTGATTTTGCGCTTCTTCACCTCGGCGGAGAGTGCTGATAGGCCTGCTTCCTTTTCTGTGGGTCCGTCGCGGTGCCGTCCTCGTTCACATTTCTTAATTGTGGTGTGACCTTCTTATCCGGGTTTTTATGCACTTCATAGCGCAGGACTTTATAGGCCTCAGGAAGGTCTAGATGTCTGTTAACAGAATTAGCATCTGTATCTTCAAGCGTCCAATTGCCTTACCCACCCCCGGCTCTTCTTTTCTTTTCAGCTGTAACCACCCCCAACGCACCGCCCATGTCAATATTCGATCTCCTGGTGTACATTGTTGAACAGCCATTGCCAAGACTGCCCACCACTTGCTTTAACGACAATTTTATCGACCTTACCGCACAGTGCTTACGGGTGGAGCACACGGAGCGTCCCTCGCTTGAGGAGCTTCTGAAGCATCCCTTCGTCGTTACCGTAGCTGGAACCTGTCCGGGTGGAGGAAATCGACATAGCAGCATCCGC